TGGTGGTGCGAAAGTTTCCAGACAACAAACTGCAAATCATCTATGATTATATGATAAAACATGACATGTATACCAGTAATAAACAATACAAACATGTGGTCGAGCAGCACGTACGAGTTCAATGTTTACATAACAGAATCAGACTGGATTCCGAAACACGAACATGTAAGAATAGTTCAAAAAGATGATAACAGAAATATTAAACGTCAAACTGAAAGTAAAACTAATGTTATTTGACAATATAAATAGTGAATATTGTAGCAAAAGGAAAACGAGAATATAAAGTAGCAACATATATTGCAATACCTGTATTTAATTTCTAATATTTTGACTACTCGTGTAGCAACGAGGATACATGGGAGTGGCAGCAATGTCTGTAAGAACAAATCGTTCTATTAAAATCAAGATGAAAGTTTGCAGGTAAAATGCTGTGAGAAGATCGTTTAAAGGAAGCGAAAAGTTAGTATTGCCATTGCATCAAAGACTTTGAATGACAAATCATATCAATATATAATATAAATGGATATTTGAGAATATTGGTGTAATCCGTTTCTAGACATTGACGTCTTTCGGTATCTAATCTTCATTCTTTCTGTTGTAAGCGTTGAAAAATTCTATATAATCTTCAAGTCTTTAATGCCCTTTTAAGTCCTACGAAAATTAATATGATTTTTATGACTTTGTTTGCCCTTAGACACAAGTAATGTAAAGCCAAAACTCGATACCAGCATATAAATACTGCATTACACACCAAGCTACCATAACGTATATACTTAAAAATTTTATTTAGCAATACAGTGATACATTCAATATGGCAAGATCAAGTAAATGTATGGTTAACAAAATAAATTTGGTGCTCCTTACAGGCATATAGACTCCTGCTGTGTAATGATTTAATAGAACTCTAGAGACATATAAGGAGGCCAAGTGGTCTAAAGCGCTCGCCTTTACTGATCACTGCCATCTCACACCTCTGTTCATATGGGTTCGAGTCTCCGACTCGGCCAATGTGATTATGTGAGAAAGCTTGTCAATAGCTTCCCGTGGGTAAGTGGTTTTAACCGTATTTTCAGGGTTCTTCCTCAATTAAAAATACTGGTAGCCATATAAAGCTTATCATGTGCTGAGAAACAGTGTTAAACACACAACAACAAGAAACATTTAGGAATAGAAACTTTGTTTCCATCTTTGGTTTCAAACGAGAACCTTTTCGCAAATGTGGTTAGAGTGTCCGCCTCATTTGCGGCAGGTCGCGGGTTCGAAACCCGGCCGAGTCATACCAAAGACTTTAAAGAATAGTACTAACAGCTGCCTCGCTTGGAGCTCAACATTAAGAGGTTAGTGTTAGGACTGGTTGGTCAGGTGTCAGGATAATGTGACTGGGTGGGACATCATTCCACATGTTTGCGGCATAATGTCCCAGTGATAAACATTACTATAGGTGCCCCGAGTGGCCGAGGGGTCTAAAGCGCTGACCATTACGGATCACTGCCATCTCACCTCTGTGCGTGAGTTCGAGTCCAGACTCGGCTAACGTGTGTAAGTGAGAAAGCCTGTCAGCAGATTCTCGTAAGTCGGTGGTTCTTCCTGGGGTTTTCCAGGGTTTTTCCTCCACCATTAATACTGTCTGCCATGTATAGCCTCTCTTAAGCTGAAAAATGGCGTTAAACCCTATAACAACAACAACTAGATATAACTATAAACTGTCACACTGCATACATCGTAGTGATATGACTAAAAAATTGTTAAAGCTACTTTGAAAATCCAAATCACCCCCCCCACAGAGACACACACCTTTTCGCAAGGCGACCAAACTAATTCCATAACCATATCGACAGCTCTCTTCTGAGCTAAGTACAAGTGATTGATATGCAAACCCCCACTTATGTACCACCGATTGTCAGTCATTTGTTGCTTATTCAAAACAATAAAGGGTCGCTAGCCAGTCATGTCCAGGGCGATATATGATCAATTGCTTAATGATGCTTTTTGTGTTTAGCTTGATTGACTAATGGTCGGACTCCTAGATTCCATTATATAACATATAACAACTCTATTGATTATAACTCCGTTCTTGTTCGTTTTTTTTATACAAGCATAGTGGAACTTTCACTATCGACATTGCTCCTTGTTGGTCTGACTCATGTGCAGAAAATGTTATTCCGACACCCTGAAATTGCTGTCTCGGCTCATGCAATCTGTAAATTTTGCCGAGCAAGATAAAACCGCTAGTCATTCTCTGTTACGCATATAACTGCATTTTTTTCCGCAGAAATAGTTAGCTGTTTGATCATGATTATCTCGGTTTAAAATTACATCTCGCGTTGTCATGTTATCATTTCGTAAATCATATTAATACAATGCATGTATTCTGATTACAATATGTATTTTGCCTTGCGGTGTGCTCCAGTATATATAAACTGTACAGATGATTATTTGAACACATGATCTCTCTTGCCAAGTGACTCCCTATTGTTTGGTTCTGATCAGCATGCCGTACCAGGAAGATCCTCTTACAAATGTTTACTGCTGTGGAACTTGTATCAAGGCGACGAACCCAGTCGCAAATTCCATGAATCGCTTTAATACCATATGCACGTATGTGCGACACATTTCCGCAATGGTGCTATGCCCAGACCTAGAAATTTTTATATTTCCGCTCTTGATTTTATTTTTAATGCTTTTAGAATGATTGATGTAGGAGAAAAGTTAACTTCTGTTGTTGTTACGTAGGTGCGTTACTGCTAAAATAGGCAGAATTGAAAATGAAACATGCACACCTGTGAAAGAGCTACTGTTTTATACAGAATGTGAGAAACGATGAATGTTAGAGAGCTAAAACATTTTTGGATATTCTGATCACAATTCTATACTCAAGAATATCCTTAGCAAAAAATTCCACTATTCAAGGAGAAGAAACTATATAAAGTTCAAACATATTGATTGGATGCATTCGAAAAAATATATTTCAAAAGTATTTTGGAATCTTCTTAAAGACAGAGGAAACGTTGACTAGAACAATAATAGATGAAGTTTAGTTTAGCCATTTTAATTCAATATTGAAAGCATTGTCACAATATTATGTAACTAATTAACATTTAGGAAAAGACATGCTACATTGGGAAATATACAATAATGAAGTCAACGAAACCATTATGCAAATAAAATCTAGAAAAAACAGCATATATTGATGGCATTTGTATCTGACTTCATTCCAGTTTTACACTCCATTTTTGATGCGTCTAATTAATTGCTACTATGCTTAAATCTTCTTATTTCCAAAAGATTGATACACTGCGACTATCGTTTCATTGCAAACAAAAGCTATAAAGACATTATCAATAATTCAAGAGGTATTGGTTTACTGACTGTATTAAATTTACATCCATAAATAAGATGATAATAAAATGGTTCAAAAACTTATTTTATGACAAGCAAACAGATTTTAAAACAAGGTCTGGTACAAAGTAATGATAAAAAAATTATGTATCATCTTTTGAATTTATAATATAAATTTTATTTTATTCGTTTAAGACTATGAAGTTATATTTTAAATCCACTGTTTGTTCTCCGAGTGCTTTTTGGTAATAACTCGGGAAATGGAATAGTAGATTTTACTAAGTTTATATTTGTTGAGTCAGAAAAAGTTTGGACATAGACGGTAGGGTAGCTTTGTGATGTAATGCTGAAGATTGTAAACGGAGAAGCAAAGTGTCACGTAACTTCAAAGCTGTATATAAAGATGTTAAAGCCTGATATAACACTCAAAACTTTTAAATCCTGTGACACTACTCAAAGATGTTAAAGCCAGCGATAGTCCTTAAAGACGTAAAAGCATGCGATATTACTTACATACGTTAAAGCCTGCAACAGTTCTCAAAAACCAGCGATAATACTCAGACTGGATTAAACGACATATTGTACTGTCCTTCGGCTCACGTTTATGTTCTTGCTAAAACAAATAATGATCATGGTTTAGACATATAGGGTTATGTTAAAACCTTGTGTGTTTTGTATGATAGTGATCGAGCAATTCAGTATGTCAGAAATATACAACAAAAGAGTATTCTTCCCGATAATACTTAAATTATATTATGATTAATGTGGTTTAAAAGTTTATCCAGATAAAAATGCTGTAATTTTTCGAAAAGAACAAAAAAAAAAAAAAATGCCGTAGGTTTTCGAAATGGACCAAAAGGATACAGTCGTTGTTCGAAAAGGATACAAACTGCTTTAATGTATCGAAAATGATCCAAATAATACGATGGGTTTCAGAAAAGGATGTCAACTAAGGAGGTCTGAAAATAGTTATGTATTTCTTTAGTCAACTAAATTTTTTTTCTTTTTATAATTATCTTAGTCTAGTTTATTCATCACGTGGTGTTTGGTTTATTCTCACTCAAGAACAAACTGTTTAAGCTTCTAAAACGGTCAGAAGATATACTTTCAAAAGGTCTTTGATACAACGCTACATCATGTGGAGATGAAGTTTAGGGGCTCATTGTTACAACTGACATCAAATAGGCACATTTAAATTACAGTATATACTGAAATTTATAAGATCTATCGTGGAATGCTACGTTACTGAGTTAAGTAGAAAAAGCAGTTTGAGAGCATGGTATTTTGTTAACCATTTGAAGAGTGGTTACAGTTACCGAATTATTCAAAAGTAGACCTTGTACATGTTTCTACAACTTGCAGCTAAAATGACATGATTTACAATTTGTAAATCCTTGGATCAGGAAATCAAATTAAGTCTTATCGATCTGGAGTTTAAATGCATTTCTTTAAGCAGAGATTCATTGATATTGACATGCAAACCTAGAGTAGCAAAAAATGTGAATTAGACACCATAAGAGTTTACACAATTATTTAACATGACCTTGGTGAAGAGCAATACAGAATGCTGAAAATCGATTATACATTAACTTAGCGTTTAAATGAAAATGCAGCTTTTTGGATTCTGTTCTATATGCAAGAAGGTCTGCTTATATTGTCCTGCTCCTGTTGCCTAGTGGTCAGAGCATCCGCCTCGGATGCGGGAGGTCGCGGGTTCGAAACACAAGTGAGTCCTACCAAAAACTAAAACAAGATGGTACTAACATCTGCCTCACTTGGTGCTCTGCATTAAGAGATTAGTGTCAGGACTGGTGTCAGAATAATGTGACTGGGTGGGACATGATGAGTCACGTTGCCCCAGTGATAGACATCACTATAAACTGCTATACTACAGTCATCGTAGCGATATGACTGAAACTTTTAAATCTAAGTTAAAAATCACACACACACACACACACACTGATTAATCCTGCCATGAAATAATATGTATACATTGCAACTCAGATCCTAACTGTTTTATTTGAAATTTGGTATGTTTCAGCATCAGTTATATTGTTTCAGATATATTTATAGCAAACACTATGTACGATGTGTTTTTCATCTGCATTGAGAAGTACAGAAACGTTTACGGTAAATTTACTGCTAGGTTTGTCTTGTATGCATCTAAAAAATGAAAGTAGTTTCAAAAGTCTTGCATGAATACATTTAATAGAAGTTACCACAATTTCATCTTGTTACATTTTTACGATTTTTGTCAGGGCCTACATTACTTAAATAAGATATATTCGCTTTCTGTAAAATGAAAACAAAAAATAAACCAAATATTATACGGTTTTCAGGTAAAATTTCTATACTGTATCGTGACACAAGCTTCTTTATTAATAGCTGTTTGCTGCTACTAACCAGCGCTTTTTGTTAAACTTCGATGATAAAGTCAGTATCATTCTTTATTACAGAAAGAGTTCCAGAGTTCGACAGTTTTTACAAGGCTACATCCGAAAAGGACGTAATTAATATATAGACCGTTCATGCATTCATTCTTGATGAATTGGTACAAAAAGGGGTTGATGGGTTTACACGATAGATCAGTCATTTAGTATTAGTTTCTGAAAACACTTGATGAGCTCGCGTTTATGAATTTACTTGCTCACCTGTCTGTTTTATGGGAGAATGGTTCAGATAACTGGACGATTTTGATCTTGGTTGAGAGTATATTAACAGCTCTTTTGTTGGTGGAGGTCGGAAGAAAGTATACTGACCCGCGAAACGCATGCGCTCAGTAAATTATTCTTAGCAGGGTGGTAAGTAACATGGTTGTTACGTGGTCGTCTATGGGCAACTACTTTAGACTGAATTCAAGCTTCAAACGAAAACGAGGGCCTCATGGATACAGCCATATTTGAACGTCAATCTATTACACACAGAAAAATTTTAATACTGTTATTGAACAAATGCTCAACGATATTTCGATTCTGGACTCCTACTCCATATTAACAAATAAATCACTGTGGGCAGCAGTGTATCGACCCTTCACTTATGGAATAAAGATAAAGCCCATACTGTAACGAATGTCGGGTTTAATGTAAATGCAAACATAATTTTGGCATGATTTAAGTTATAATAAGAGGAATTATCGTACATTCGCTTGTATCTCGCTGCAGATATGTGCAGACCACGTCAATAAGTGACAAATGACACGCAAAACAATACTGTCGTCAATATTCATTGACAGTATTTGTAACAAACATTAATTAAATGTAAAAGCGAGTGAAATCAAGTCTTTACGTTTAGCAAGCTATTCGGAAGAACCTCAGGTGATAAGAAATATCTAATGCTCCTAAACTTTGTTAAAGCTGAGGAAAAGGTTTGTGATGAAAACATTTATACAAGCACATGATACAGACGACAACTAATCCGTAGGTTGTGCACATAACCACTTTGCTATCGATACTCATACATAATAGCAAACCGAAAAAAATACTTATGTAAATAGTTACCACCCTCGTTGCGTGGTCTTCAATTTGTTTACAGACATCTCGCCCGGTTTACCAGTACATGTGTCGGGTTTGTAAGCATCTTGAAGCGTCGTCGTGACTCGACCGGTTATTTTAATGGAATACCGTTTATACAGTAGGAAAGGGTGCCCCGGGTGGTTGAGTGGTCCGTATGAATTAGTGCCTCAGGCTCGCCCGATGTGTGAGAAGCTTGCCAGTAGCTTCCCGTGGGTCGATGATTTTTTTTCTGGGGTTACAATGTTCTTCCTCCATCTAGCTGGTGACCGCGATGAATTAACTTTTTGAGAAATGGTGTTAAACCCAAAACAAAAATAAAATTAAATAATGTAGGTGATATGTATATTTTATTTAATTGTTTGTCTGTTAGTTTTAACTTTTTTATATTCCATTACATGTTATTGTATTTAACATTGTTTACTGGAATTGACATTGTGCTAAATTAAGTTCAGTTCTGTTTGACTTGATTGACTTTTTAATTTTTTTAAAACTTTCATTGATGTAAACAACTTGATGTAAATAGCTTCATTATCCTCTATGGGTATGTGTTCATTTACCAAATTATTATGCAGGTAAACATATTGATTTGATTCAGGGTTTTGGGGATTTCAAATTGAATTTTATAGGGTGTTTTGTTTTAAATAAACATGATATTAAATCATGATAGAAAGATTTTTTTCCATTAGGTAATGGTTGTTTTTAGAAATTTCAAAATTTGTGACCTTAGACTAAAACAGAGAACTCTGTTATCTTGTGAATGTCAGAATTTTACCAGTTGTGCTTTAATATCTGGCACCTTGAAGTGTATAATATTGTGTCCAGTTTGGGCTGAGATTTACTGTCTTCAAATTATTGATTTCATGTGATTTTTTTTCTCTTGAAATACAAAGTGCTCTGATAAACTTCCTGGATAAAATATTGATTTGAATTTATACTGAATTCAAAACTGAAATAATTTTTCGGTGATTAAATAATAGGCTGTTGACAAATAAGTACAACGCAGGCCATAACAGATACATCATCGTTTCAGTTTTAAATCTCTCCTGGACTTGAGTTAAGTTTTATTTAGGACATTTATTACTAGGACTTGTGGTCTTAATTCATTAACTATTTTGGTTTTAATTCGCAAAGGCGTACATTCTTTGTTTTCATTTTTCTCTTTATATTCTAGGAAAAATAAATTATTTATTAAATTTTACAAAGCTTGATTTCGTCACTCTTTCCTGTTACTTATTTTTAGACTCTTAACAGTAGGAAACATGTACATGGACGATGCAATAATGTATCAAAAAAGGTAAATAAGATGAGCAATGTTCATTCCATCAAACTATACACATTTTTATTTTATTACTTTACTATTTTTGAAAATACTACGATACAAGTACATATCTGCAGATTTTAATACAATGCTAAGGGATCTGTCGATTTCCAACTCGTTTATTAAGTTCAATTTGGAATCGTTCTTGTAACGGTATGTTTTCTTTAGTTTTGTTCTGATGATGATTTTCAAAATTTTAATCGGTTAAATGTCATATTTTCTTTTCGTCGCCATCAAACAAAAATAATTAAACAGTAACCACAAGAGGTACAAGAAAAAGTGGCAGAATAATGATGTTGGTGATGATGATAATCATTAGTCACGATGACGGGAAAGAAAAGAAAGAAATATAGATGAAAAAGCAAATGTTTAGAACCTTTCTTTAAATTATACCATTACGTTTCAGTTAATACCAACTCATTCGACTGTGTTATTACCGTACATGTTGTGGGCCCTCTAAATGCTGTCTTACAAATAGTCGTATGGAGTGCTATAAGTTTTTGAGTGTACGGAGTGCTATCAATTTTTTAGTTCCTTACGTCATAACTACCGGGCAAAGATTTGATTCCAAATGACACACATTAATCATATTCACGTGTCATAATATAAAAAATCCATTTCCGTAATGAGATCTCTCCCGCAGGTAACAAACAAGATGCCTCACCATACAGCACGATCAACACAAGACTTTATCGTACAAGTAGGTTATTGCCCAAATCGAAGCTTTAAGCTGAGGAATTGACCGACATTGATATCTGTCTGCAATACCTGAACCTATCATTGCTTGATGCCCTCCATCAATCATTCTTATTTAGACAATCGAATAGAAGATATTTGAGAAGCTGCTTTGTTACGATGCAGGCATGACTATACTGGCAATCCGCAGAGCAAATCACGTTCTCTTTTGTTGTAATATCATTCGAAAGAAAAACCAAAATGCTACTTTCTGATTTGCCATTATGCATATATTTACTCAGGTTCTTTCAAGTTAGCTTTATTAAGATTATATTATCAAAGCGTTGAGAGAGTGTTGTGTCTGTATTAGCGGTACAGGTCGATAATGGTCGCTTGAATGAAATATCAAAGCTTTTGAAAAATCTCAAAACCTCGTGGCAGAAACACACATAAACTGAACAATGTTAACCTCAGTGCTCTCACAGTGAACGATCCCGTTTAATTCAAAATTAAAACTCAGTATGGCCTATCCATTAAACCAAGTCTATCATATCATTTTACATTCTCTGCAACTACTCCATTTTATGAACGTAAATACGCTAAAAGTCAACGAACCGGTTTAAATCTATTGAAATTAAATCGGGTCTAGCCAGAAACTTAGCCTCTTACATAATTTACATTATCAAGAATTGGTATTTCATTTTCGTAAAGTCTTTATTGTACCGGCGGCTGTAAATACCAGACACCCTTTTAATCAAAGGAGACATTATCTTTCAGGTATAGTTTATCCGAACATGGGTTGTGCAATAATTACGTAAGATGCAACCTGAATGCTAATGATAGATATCTCCAGGGGACTGCAATACATCCGTAGGAAGCTTCTGTGTAAATTTGCTTGTTTGTTCTTCAATTTCCTCGACCATTTTGACCATTGCAACGACGGAAATCAATGATAAATATGCTTGTTGGGAAGGAGTGCCGGAATGCAATAAGGCCGAACCCATGTTGCTTTCGTTTTAATATCAAAACATATTTGAGAATGTTAAAATGTAAATAATTGCGATGACGGTAATTACTATTGTCACGACGTTAGGAACTGTAATGCTACTGTTGGACTGAAAATTCTGCTTTTTACATCTTTTAGAATGTCCTAATTGATACGTTTGAAAATCTTTCGGAAATGTATTTTTATGTATAATCAACGATAAAAGCATCAAAATGAAGCATGTGTCGGGTTCTT